TCTGCATGTAAAGTTATAGAAACAGAAGCCATAACATCTCTGAGTGCATGTGGAGCGCTCCATTCATCTGGTCCAAGAACACTAGGATTTTGATTGTTGTTCCCCTCCTTGCATTTGTAAACAATCAGCTATATGCTGTGGTTTTTCTCCTTACCAACTTTTAAAATAGCCCACTAGTGAAGGCCTGGGCAAAGAAGCCTGATGTCTGAGAACCTCAACATATGTACGGCAACCACACTGTATATTTACACACTTTCATAAAGAAGCTGCATATCAAGCTTTCATTCAGATGACCTTCAACAGTGCTGCACCCTGCTGAGGGACATCCGAGTAAAACCTTGAGATGGCCATTTTCTGTTCACTAACTTGCTTTAGTAAATCCTTACTTTGGTTAAATAAATCAGTTGTTGAACACCCCACTCCTCTGTTTGGTCTCCTTTCTTATTACAGCCCACCACTTCCAGTCTGGGTTGTAACAATCTGCAGACAGATTTCTGAGTATCTCCTCCTTTGGTACACAGATCCTCACTGAGCCAAGTACTGTGAACAAATAGTTTCTCCATGATATTATCCAGCAAGGTCTTGTTTTTGTCAAAACAAGGGTGAGGTAATGAAAAAATAGAAATATTTCAATAAATTAACATTAAAATTATTTATATGCATAATTAAAAAAAAACATGTTTTGAAATATATAAAGTGCACCAAACTTGACTCAGTCCATTCAACAATTCTAAATGGACAATTATGTAACTCATCAATTAATTATTTGAAAGGATAATTTGTCAATTAAATGCTGAAAAAAATAAACAATACATTAATGAGGCAAGAACTTTTTAAACTTGAACATACCTACACCCACAAGTCTATTTTTACCTGGTTAAAACCATCTAGCTTATGTGCACTTTTTAAAACACTGCCCAGCAAACATTCGGACGTTTAGTGACAGTTGAACAGTCACAACTGTAAAATAATATCACAGGAATTAGGAAAGAATATTATGACATCAACTCTATGTTCCTTGGCCGGACTCGAACCTGGATCCTCCAGAGTGAGAGTCACCTGCTCTCCCAGCTGAGCTATGACAGCAACTGCTGAATCTCAGATTTTTTTATATAGATAGGTAGAGAGTAAAGTGCGGGGTAAACTAACCAATCAGAGGACAGGGAAGATCTGCCACAGGCCACGCCTCCAGAGTGCCAAAACTCCTCACAGCCGAGCGAGCGGAATTAGAAACCGAGCGCGCAGAGAGGCTGCCGCGCGCGCACGTTTTCCTCTGCCGTGTGCTCGTTGGCAACGCGCGCACGCAGGTTTGTCACTTGTGCACATCCTTGTGCACTCACAGACACAGTTTGCTCCCTCTCAGTGCACAAATTACCTCTCGCCATGTATATTTTCGCTCGCGAGTCCCGTTCACGCGCGCGCTGCCATGTATATTTTCGCTCGAGAGTCCCGTTCACACGCGCGCTGTGGACCCAATGCGCGTGCACGGGTTGTGGCACGCTTTAAACGCCATATAAAACCTGCTAGATACTAGCTAGCCCTCCAGGCCCGGAATAAGAAACCCTGCAAGGTGATTTTAGCACATGCTGGCTCAAGAGAATTATTTAAAAATATGATAAATGTTGCTAAGTAACCCTTTAAATTTGTTTTGTGTGTAGGTCTGTTACATAATACACCGTATCAATGTTATCTTAACTGGTGTGACATAAAAGTACTTTTTCTCAACATGGCATGAAACTTAATGATGGTCGGCTTCTTTTGAATAGAGCTCATTTGGCTGCTTTGGGGTTCACAGTACCTGATTTCAAATGGAAAACCCCTTCAGAGTTGACATCAGACCTGCTGAACTGGTTAGGAAAATAATTTAAAAAGTCTAAAAAACAGCTTTTGAGTTTATCTGTTGAATGAGTTTTACTCCATGTAGAAAAGCTTCTGCTGAATAAAAACGGATCCATTAAGTTTTCTCTGCAACACGAGTGTTTTGGGTCTTCACATTTAAAGTTCTACCAAAACCCTTTCAGTTAAACATTACTCGTTTCATGTGAAGTCTGCTTGCTCTTCTCAGAGTAAAACGAACTTTAAAAATCATAAATAACGTGTGACTAAAGCCTTACAATGACTTTAAAATCCACACAAACTTGTGTTGACGACAAACACCTCTGTGTGAAGTTTGGGCTTGTTCAAGTTTTTTTTAATGCCTATTTACTGATTATTTCTAAGTAACGCCAGGTGAATAAAAGAGAAACTAGACAGCCATGACAAGACAGGAATTAAAAAAGGCATATCCGGTATTTCAAGACTTGCGCAAAACGAGTTCATGGTATGTAAAAGATTTATGATGACAGTCCAATAAAAATCTGCCGGATTGGAACCACAGAGGAGAAGTGTGGGAACCAAAGGAAGGTTCTGGGCTCTTATTAATTTTGTACCCGGCAGCAAACACACCCACACGAAACCTTCCCTCTAGTGGAGACTTGATTGGTGACTAATAGATCTCATTTGATTAGAAGCAAATGAGACGGAATTATCTTTGACCGTTGATGCATAAAAATTTGAAAAGAAGGGAAAACTCAACCGTTGTTGGTTTCTAAGGAAAATGACTCATGTAAAAATATTTTATTGTGCACCCAAGGGCGTAAGAACGAGTTTAATATTGGGGGGGGGGGGGGGGGGGGGGGGGGCATTTTGGAAATCTAACAAATCTGTTGTAGGTCAATATATAGGTCAACTTCACTGAAAAAAATACTTTTAATGATTATTTCTGATTCTAACGTGTCACTGAGTGTTTCATGCAGGCTGAACATGAACATAGTCTCCTACCGCTAGCTCCTGCATTAGCTTCTGATAGAAAATCTGATAGACGGTGAAACTCTAGGATTAGAAAAGTCTGACAGATGTGACTCAGGGCATAAGGCAAAGCCCAGAAAGACAAGAAAATAACTTTTATAGCCCAGTTCACTAACATTCTGTTTTTTTTTGTTTGTTTTTTTTGATCGGGGACCCATGAGCCAGCCAGAAGGGGAGGAGACTTAGGCTCCCCATTAGCCAGATCCAGGTGATTACCGGCCAACGTGGACGTTTTAATTATAAAAAAGCTGTTTATGTGTCAGTACTGTTTTATTTTTATTTAAAAATATGAATGTAGGGTATATTATCTTATACATATGGGTAGAGATGTGTAAACAGATTTAATACAAGACTAAAGCTGTGAAAATTCAGTGTGAATTGATCTGACTCTGATCAGAATATTTTAAATTACATCAGCCAACAATGCTGACCAACTATCAGAAAAATCTGTTTGCTTCTGACAGAAAGAAAAAAGAAATAATTCACTTACAACAACAGCTGGAACTACATTAATATTCAGATGGACAAAAGAAAAAAAACAGTGGCCAAAATTGCAGTCTAAATGCACCAGAATGGAGAGTTTAACACTTATTTTTCTAATATTTCTAAGGAAGCGTGTACAGAATGTAATTTATTCTTAACCCTTTGATGCATGAATTATAAAATCTTTAACCATGATTTTTTTAAATATTTTTTTCATTCATCTTTAGGTGTGAATGAAACAAATTTCAACAAATATTTTTTGTAACATTTAATAATTTACAAATAATTTATTACATGTCCACCTCAGTGGACAGCGTGCATTCTGAACATGAAATATGTTGGCTTGACTTACTGAAGTCCAAATGGAAGGGCTCAAATGCAATAAAGTCATCAACAGTTGTGCTTAATAGCAAAAATAATAACAATTTTGAGTACTGTCATGGTCTGCGTCTGCCCCCTCCTTTTGTGTCTTCTAGCGCCCTCATGTGTCATGTCTGCGTCTTCCTCACGTGTCTCCTGGTGTTCCCCATTTGCCCTCTAGGTTCCCCCCTCAGACATCCCTTTCCCAGGTCCTGTGCTCTCTTGGCCCCCTCTTAGCCACGCCCCTGTTGTTTATTTCTATGGTGTTTTCCTTTAGTGTCAGCTTCCCCTTAGTATATTAGTCATGGTTCATGCTTTCTGGTCTTTTGTTTTTCTCTTAGGTAATTTTCCTTTGTTACAGCCTTTCAGTATTTAGTGTGTTTTTCCCACAAAAATATGTTATTTTCCAATAAAACAACTTTTTCTTCCTGGGGCATTTAGTATAAATCAGTCTTGGTCATGTTACGAAATATCTAAAATATTTAAAAAATTTGCATCAGTAGTTGTATAGCAACAGATTGATCTTAGTGGACAAAAACATCCCATTGACTTCCATTCAAACCCCGTTTTTGATCCTGTAACATCTGCATCGAATAATCTTGCTTTCTTGGATATTAGGGTGTGATTTTGGAGAAAAGTAGTCAAAGTAAGAATCATAAATGTGACAACTTTTCTCCAAAATCACACCCTGATATCACATAAAGCATGATTATTTGCTGCATATGTTACAGGACCAAAAACTGTGGGTTTGAATGGAAGTCAATGGGACGTTTTGTCCACTAAAGACTCAAGTGTATAGTGTGTATATTTTTTCATAGTGTTCCCTTGGTCTATTTTCAAAATTCCTAACTGAATTTCCAAATTTGTCCAGAGACAGGTTTGGTGACAAAATGTTGTACCATATACACAAACAATGGTGAAATGTCATCCAAAAGAAAAGCAAAAAACTGCCCAAATGGATAAAAATATGCCAAATGAAGCCTGAGGGTTAAATGTGCTTTATAAATAAATCTGGTATGGTATGGTTTCTGAGACCAGGAGGCTCACTATATATATATATATATATATATATATATATATATATATATATATATATATATATATATATATATATATATATATATATATATATATATATATATATATATATATATATTTCAAATTGTATATAAAAATGTACTGTCTAGAATGTCATGAAAATATATTTTTTTTCTTTTACTGAGAACCATAGCAGCTAATTGCCTCAAAATTCCGTATGCAAAATGTCTTTACTTGTTTTTTTTAGTTATTACGGTAAACATTTCCCTTCGCAACTACTCGAGTAATTACAGGAGAGCCACGGAGGCGAGGTTTGAACAAAGACGGAACTTGTGTCTCTGGAGCAGTTTGGGTTTGTCAGGATGAGGTGAGTTGGAAGTAATTTATCCGTATTAAAAACAGTCGTGAATGCGTCATCTGCGGTAAAATAAACGAGTCACGTTCAGATTAATGTAGTCATCATGTGAAACGCAACTAAATGCATTTATGTGTGATGCAGAAAGGGGTTTCGGTGCGGGCTGTTTGCGGTTGGCATGCGGTCCCTTTTCAAATAGTGTTCTCAAAACCATAAAGGTGTTCTTGTTTGAATACACACGAGAAGCAGATGACGTCAGCGGCGCCGTAAACCTTATTTGAGACAAACTTTTGATGAAAGTAAAATATCTTTGCAGTATTTGAAATTCGTGTGTAGTGAGTGGATTTGATGATTTTGCAGCAATAAAACTGTTTTGCTTTCAATTAAAAAAATCTAAATAAACAAAATAACAGAACTCACAATCATTTTTCTGGCTTAATTTTGAAATGAAATAAATAAAAGTCTCATTATTTGTTTGTGATCATGTTTTTCTGAGCTAATTTTGACATAAATAAAATAACTGTTGAACTTCTGCTCAGGTCTTCCGTGCTGGCACCTCTTCTCTCGCTGCTCCTGACTGCAGGGGGTCATGTCACCGGGGAGGAGGTGGACAAGAAGCCCAACTTTGTCCTGATGATGGTGGATGACCTTGGGATTGGTGATATCGGTTGCTATGGCAACGACACCATCAGGTTTGGTAGTTAACCCATAACCGTTATAACTATTTTAAAACCTAGTTGTTTTTGCTATCTACAATCCATCACCAAGTTTGGAGTTTTAACAGTTTTTTTGTTTTTGTTTTATTTGTTTCTCAAGGAGCCCCAACATAGACAGACTGGCGTCGGAGGGGGTGAAGCTGACTCAGCACATCGCAGCGGCTCCTCTCTGCTCTCCGAGCCGGGCTGCCTTCATGACGGGCCGCTATGCAATTCGCTCTGGTAGGGAATGCCAGCACCTGAGGTCAAATGTTTACATTCTGGCTATATTTGTGTCCACACGCTTCATCCATACCAACTGTCCCATGCGTTTTGTATACTGATTAGGGATGGTGAGCACGGGTCGTGTCCAGGTTCTGCTGTTTCTAGGAGGTTCTGGGGGGCTCCCACCCAGTGAGACAACCTTTGCAAAGAGGCTGCAGCAGCAAGGATACACCACGGGTCTCATAGGTGAGATGTAAACAATCTCATAAATTTGTATGTGACTAACTTTATTTTCTGCTAATGAGGGGTGATCTTCCGTGACATTTTAAAGACTAATTTTCTCTTAAAACAGCCGAGGAGTTGGCGTGTGCATCCACAGTCTGTTTGTGAGATTTAAAGGGACACTGAAACTTTTTCATAATTTTAAATAATTTTCTTGAGGCAGTATTTTTAAAATGACCCTTTACAGGGGGTCATCCAGCCCCTATCGCCCCCTGTGGCCAGAATTTTCCACTTGCAACTTCAGACTGGTGGGCTGCTCTGTTGTGACTTAGAAAAAATTGAGTGTACATACCTGGTGCTGCAGTCTGGTTCCAGCTTGTAAGAAGGTTAACTCATTCACTGCCAATGACGACTAAAGTCATCATTTGCATTTTTTTACTGTTTGAGCATCGGAACGAGCCCCCGCGCTGAGAGAACAAACATCTCAGCCCTGAAGCCGATCTTCATCCACATACGTCACAGATCACATGATCAGGAAGCAACACATCCATGTGTTAGGAGATCATTTTGGGCCATTCCTGTAAAAAAAGAAAGTGAGGCGCGAACCGGAAAAGCTTCTGCCGATAGCAATTCAACAACGGATTATGAAAGAACGGATAACGCTCGAAACACACGGCTTCTTCCTGATGTAAGAGGTGAGTCTCCTCTTTGTTTTGGTTGTTTTGGCATCGACGTCATGCTAGCGCGTAACATTCTGTGGCTCATAAAAAAACAGTAAAAACGGTGAGAAACGCTGGCAGCGAAGGCCGTTAGTGATCAGGAAACGGCTGGCATTGAATGAGTTAATACATTTGCATGACAGTTGCAAATTGATAGCAAAAACACTGTCCATCCCACATGAATGAAACTTGTTGCAAAATAGTGATAAGTACCAATTCCATTAGAGAAATTGGATTGTGCTCTTTTTGATTTTCCAGACCCTCTGCTCTTTTTACTCCATGTGTGTCTGCAGGCAAATGGCACTTGGGTTTGAATTGTGAACACAGAGGGGATCACTGTCACCACCCGAACCAACATGGCTTCAGCTACTTCTACGGTTTACCGTTTACACTCTTCAATGACTGCGTGCCTGGAGAAGGCAGCGATGTGCTGGTGAATCTACAGCATTCACTCTACAACCTCACCTTGCTGCTCGGACTTGGACTTTTCACAATGGTTGGTGTAATTTAGTTTTTTATTGTGTTGTTGTCCAAAAATTTGATTAAAATGAATAAAAATGAGGACATAGACATTAATTTATATGGAGACAGTCTGAGAAAAGCAGCATTAAAAACAAAATAAAGGCAGAAATGCATTTATTGCCAGATAAAGACAGAAACTCCACAGCTTATGGGTGATCGCTTAGACAACTGCCGAAGGGTTTGAATGAAGATTGAGAACAGAAGCTGCAGTTCTGAAACTCACAGCTGCACCAGCCTCCAGTGCCTGGAGGGAAAGCACAATGTTAAAATTGAACATTCTTGGAAAATCTGGTGAATGGAAGCTCCTGTGGGACAAACTGGAACCAGACATGCTACAAGTATAGCAAACCAAAAATACTTGGTTCTAATGAGGAGATTAAATGAGAACAGCATCAAGAATCAGCCGTTTTTTTGTTGTTGTGTGCATTCCCAGGTGTGTGTCCGTGTTCTTGGCCTCTATCAAGTCAGCTTGTGGCTCCTGGTGCTGTTTTTCCTTCTCAGTGTGGCAGCAGCTGCTGTCTGGATTGTGCCTTTTAAGTTCCTGCAAACCTGGAACTGCATCATCATGAGGAACCAAGATGTGGTCGAGCAGCCCATGACTGTGGAGACGCTGCCCCAGAGACTGCTGGCAGAGGCACAGAACTTCATAAAGAGGTGAGACTGATCTGTGTTCCCAGTTGTGTGTGTTGCTTGGTTTGGTGGCTCAGGAGAGACGTTTGGCAAGTGGCGGTTAGGGAGCGGATGCTACCCCGCTCTCCAATGAAATCTTGTCCAAAGTTTGTGCTGTTATTGTATTAACTGTTAAAGCAACATTAAATAAGTTTATCTCTTCTTCCCCCTACTGGATGAATACAGAGTTACAACTGTCATGAACCCAGCTGCAGCCTGCTATAGCTACCACTAACACCAAGCTAACGCTAACAGAAGCTAACTGATACGAAATAAGCCACGGATTAGAAAGATCCACACTGTCCACAAAGAATAATATTACTCACAAGTCCAGTAGCAATAAAACCAGGTCACCATCAGTCCGTAATTTCAAGCTGCCTTCAGCTCCTTGAAACGAGTGTAGACCCCGCTGATGTTCACTCTGGTTTTAGCTCTTAGCTTCACCTCCAAAGACCTTACTCTCTTACTTTTACTTACAGGCTCCATGATTCCAACAAAAAAGCAAAATTAGCCTTCATCTTCTTGTGCTTTATGATGGTCGGCAAACTTAAAGAGCAAGTCACCCCCAAATAAACTTTCTTTTGCTGATAAACTAAATAAACGAGTGTTTAATCGTGCTGCAGACACGTGTAGTCAACAATTTGGCACTTCAGTGCATCTTAGTTAAAATTTAAATATTCTGCCTAAAACTGGCAGTGTTGTGCCATTGTCAGGTAAAAACTCTGCACTGTATTTTAATTTAAATCTGCCATCACTATTGGCTAAGAGGTATGCTATGATGTAAACTGGTACATTATGATGTCACAATGCTGTCGTGAGCCTGTGTGTGGGTGTATTTGTTAGCAGCTCCTCCTTCTCGGTCTGCCAGGCGACAGCATTTGTTGCATTTTTCAAACTTGAAGTGGGAGTGGAGTTAGAATCTGGTAGGGGTTGACTTGCTCTTTCAAAAGCTAACTGCTAGCCTTTATGAGCTACCGGCACAGTAAACGGCTATTGTCATAAAGCAGGTAGAGACCACCTACTACTGTCCCGACGCTACATAGAAGATTGTTTCTTCTTCTTCAAACCTCTAGACTGTTAGGTGCAGTTTCTGGTCAGCAGGGGGTGACAGAATGCTGTCCAATGTGAAGCTGCTCAACGTTCTGTCTCGTGAACCACTGAAACCAGTTTCAAAGCAATAGGTTAGATAAAAAAGTCTTTAGTGTTGCTTTCAGTTGGGATAATAAAACCCACTCTTCTGGATCTGAGCTCACGTGAAGTGTGGTGTTTGAAAGATTTTGCAAAAATGTAGTTTTGATTGATTGATTTGAACTTAAGACAACACTTTTTAAAACCAACCTATTAATAAAAAGATATATACAATTTAAGGAGAAAAAGGTGATTGCCCAAAGGGAGGCGGGAAAAAGCCGGTGCCTAATCAGTCCTAACTAATGCTAACTTCACATTAGTTAGATATTTATATCAAAACAAGCAATGGAGTAAAATTATAGTAAAATTCAAGTTTGTCAAGTTATGTTGAATTTCAGTCTAACCAATAACATATTAAAAGGCTTATTATGCTAAACTTACTGGTGGCTTCAATTGAATCTGCCATGTGGGTTTCTCCTGCCTCTAAAAAACATTGCAAACATGAAAAAACCCGCCCATCTGTTTTGTGTCAGTGTTTGGTTTTAGGATTTATGTGCCTAAAACAAAACCTCCCTGTTTGTGATGTCACAAACAGGAAAATTGGCAACTTCCAGCTTGAAACGGCTCATTCTGGTATGCTGAAAACGTCAAGAACCAAACAGCTGAAATCACTTTATGTGAGAAGGATTTTGTGCAAAGAACTCCATAATCATGTTTTGAATCAATCATAGAACTATTATGATGTAACAAAATATGTGCTTTTCATGCACCTTTAGAGCATAAAAATGAAAAAGCATTTTTTTAAATGCCTCATCTTTTTTACAGTTAAGCTCATTTACTTACCAGTTTTAAGGTGATTAACCAATTGAAATAGATGCATATCTAAAATATTTTCTAAAGTATTTCCTGTAGAAATCTCCTGATAAATTGCACACCAAGGCTTATTTGTTATTAATTCTTAATATTACTAACTCTTAACATATTTCATTCTAGGTTTTTACAGATTGTATTTAAAAGTATAGTCAGAAGTTATGTTACGACACAGTTTGCCACTCATCATCTTAGTTATTTAGCTAATTGGAGCATTTTAGCTTAAATCTTGCTTAAACAACAGTGCAACTCCGGAACTCTGGAACTGCGCTGCTCTGGGTGGCTGCGTGTTGGAGTAGCTCTGTTGACTATATGTAAGTTTTGCCTTTTCTTGGGCATTTTTTCTTCTAGTTTCTCAAGAAAAACTGTATTTTTTGGACACTTTGCTTTTCTGTTTCTGGTGCTGTGAAGCTTGGAGGATTTTTACTGCTATTTATTTTAGCTTTTTTCACTTTTTGAGCATTTGTTATGATGTGTAACCATGGCAACAAGCTGGTTTACAATCGGGAGCAGCTGATTAACATTGGGAAGGCTGAAATAATACCTCAACTGAAGCCACAAATCCCAAATGAGCTAAAACGCAAGAAGTGTGGATGCAGAGCGGGAGCAAAACGGAGACAGAGAAAGAGGAAATTCTAATCATCTCTTCCATTGATCATAATGGGCAATGTGAGATCACTGGCCAGCAAGATGGAGGAACTCCAAGCCCTTTCAAGGACTCAGGCAGAGTTTCGGCAGTTTCGGAACCGCTGGAGGAGATAATGCAAAGAAGGATTCTCCAGAGAATCAAGAAAATGATGGACAACCCTGAGCATTCTCTTCACAAGACTGTCCGACAACGGAAGAGTGTCTTCAGTCAGAGGCTTCTTCAGTTTCGCTGCAACACTGACCGCTACTGGAGATCCTTCCTGCCAACAGCCATTGTAATATACAATAACTCTTTGATGACTTGATTATTATTATTATTTTGAGCTACTACAGCAATCAATTTCCCTCTGGGATTAATAAAATATTTTTGAATTGAATTGAACAAGAAATCTTTTGCTTGTCACAGCTGACGGTCCCAAGAACATCACCTGTAATTCATGTTGACAGCAGTGTGAGGAATAATTAAAAAGGCCGTTTGAGCTGAGGACGTGTGACTCATTTCTCACTCTTCAGGAATGCTGATCATCCATTCCTCCTCCTCTTCTCTCTGGCTCACATTCACACACCGCTGTTCAAATCTCCAGCCTTTGCTGGCAGGAGTCGCCATGGTCGCTATGGCGACAACCTGGAGGAAGTAGACTGGATCATTGGTAAGCCTGGGTGGGAAGGCGGACATGTTAATATGTGCTTTTAGACAGAAACATGAATATATAAAATATGAAAGTTAAATGAGATAAGATGATTGAAAATGAGTAAAAATACGTTTTAGGTAAAGTAACGGAGACTGTGGATTCCCTCAACCTTTCCAACAACACCCTCATGTATTTCACCTCAGACCACGGTGGACATTTAGAGGATTCTGATTCTCTGATTGGCCAGAAAGGAGGCTGGAATGGTAAATATAAAGGTAAATTACACGTTTATCTGATTTCCTGAGAGCCAGTCAGACAGATATGTGTGTAATTCCTTCTGTTGTCTCACATTGAGGTGGGAAGGCCATGGGAGGCTGGGAAGGTGGGATCAGAGTGCCGGGTATTTTCCGCTGGCCTGGCAGACTGACGGCAGGAAAAGTGGTGGATGAACCCACAAGCCTCATGGATCTTTATCCCACACTGAAATATTTAGCCAAGGACACAAAACCAGACAGGTACGAAGTTTCACACATTCACTTGTTTCAGGTTTCTGGCTCAAGAACCACAGAAACCAGTTAGAATGCAAAAGCTTAACGTCTTTACTCCTTTTCAAATTGACTATGGAAGTTTTATTTTCAGGCTTGATTATTATTGACTTTTATTTTTTTGACATAACTGGAAAAAAGATTTAATTATAATAAAAAAAATTGTTCTTCCTAACTGTAATCAACATTTAATACATCTTGAAAATAACTCTCCCTGGGAGGAATTATGTAATCTATTCAATTCATTGGTGTCAACTCAAGTAGATTATTCCTCTGTAGATTAAACATTGTGAACATATGAAACAAAAGTTGAATTTCATGTATCTAGTAGTCAAAAGTGGTAAAGTTCAATAGTTGATTTCATTTTTCATAAATAAAAATAAGTTCTGATAGCTTTGATTTATAAATCAATAATCAGAAATGTATCTTTAACAAAAATTCTGACTCTGATATTGTTTTTCCCTTGTCAATAAATGTGATAATAATAAAAAAAAACAAAAAGATGTGTAATTGCCAGTTCATGTCCCTTTAAGTAGCTGCACCACCTTGAATCACATGACAACGTAACTCAACTTAATACATGAGACAGCCCCACCTAGTGGACAACCTTTGTTTCTGCACATACATTTAGTTCTCGTCCATTTATCGTTATCGAGGTGAACTCAGTATACCATGATGTTGATTTTAGGCCACATCGCCCAGCCATTCTTTGATTTAACTTTGAATGTCTGAATGAAACATTTTAGCAGGAACAATTCATTTCAGGACATCCAATAAAACCAGTATTGGTAATATAACTACCTAAAAAGCAATACTGACCATCACTGCAAATATGTATGATGTAGGGGAGGGGATTGTGATTAATTAGGAAAACATAATGTGTTAATAAAATTTATTGCGTTTAATTCTTTGTGCCCGAGAACTCACTAATTGGGGGGCATCGAAGTTTAGCAGCAAAATGTTTGCCCTAAATATCAAATATCATCAAGCTGCACCTCTAAAAGATCCAAATTAATTAATTACAAAGCCTCTAATTAATTAGATGAATGTTTATCCCCCAGTATAAAGACTTGATGTTAAAATATACTTTTTTTTTTGTAAAAGACTGATTACAGACAGTGAGTTGAATTATTATATGTAACAACTGCCTTCCGTATTTCTCTCTCTTGCAGACATTCAGACGGATTTAACCTCATGCCACTTTTGGAAGGGAAAGTTGCACGATCAGAGCACACATTCATGTTCCACTATTGTGGCGCCTATATGAATGCAGCCCGTTGGCATCCTCCTGATAGTAGGTGCACACACACACACACACACACACACACACACACACACACACACACACACACTGGTTCGTTTCTCAAGAAAACCTTTGTTTCTAACTGAGATCTAGTCTTTTCTTACCAAACCTGTAATGACTCACAAGAGGTGAAACGATCGATAACCCTGGCCTAAAGCTTGGTTTATGCTTGACGCATTCACTTTCCGCTTGGTGATGCGGCTCGCGGATGGAACGCGCTTCACAACTTGCAGCGTTTATGGTTCGTGCGTCTCGTCTCTGCGGTGAGCCAATATTCTCGCAAACTGAACAGGGCAGCATGGAGCTCTACAGCATGCATCCAACACCACACCATAGTAGAAGTAGAAATTACTGTTTACAACATGGAATTCCAGCATTTTTAACTTGTCTTTTCCGACAGTGCGAGCTATTTCTCTCCAAGAATTATTAACTACATGTTGATCACGGTGATCTCTGAGAGCTGAATCATACAAATGTCTGTATTTACGAACCTCTGCCATACTAGTTCTTGCCGGTCCGCCATGTTTTTCCGCGTCCGTCCGTCCTCGTAGTTAGAAATTTTCCGAGGTGTGCGTTGCGGAAATTCTGGGCCGTGCGGAGACGCGGTGGAGGGGCGCGGTTGTTAAAATGACGCAACTTTTCCGCGCGGAGCCGTGCGGACCTCGCGGACGCGTCAAGCATAAACCAACCTTTAATCTGCCTGGGATGGAGTTTAAAATCTTTTAACAGAAGATAACAAGAAACCAGCCACCCCAAGCAAGTTTTAACAAAGATTTAAACCATACGGTAGAATAAGGCCGGTCCGTCTGGTGGTCCTAAGCAGTATCTATAAATAACATCTGTACAGGAGTGCTTCTACGTTTGAATTGAACCAGTTTCCACATGCCAACCGTTTCCTGGAAACAAATCTATTGTAATTTTTATCCTAAATGTCACAGCTCTGCCTTTGATTCAGATGCTTTCTCACACATCCGTTGTTCTGTCCAGGTGGCTCCATCTTCAAAGTGCACTTTTTCACCCCTAACTTTTCCCCGCTGGGAGCCGGTGGATGCTACAACACCAAAGTTTGCTTTTGTCATGGTGAATATGTGACGCAGCACCGCCCACCGCTGCTGTTTGACCTTTACCACGACCCCTCAGAATCCCACCCTCTGATGCCCGACACCGAGCCTCGATATGCAGAAATCCTTGAGCAGATTTCCAGAGCTGTGGAGAGACACGAGCAAACCCTGGAACAAAAAGAGACGTCCAATGATTCGGCATCCAGCACAGAGACAGTCAGAGTTCAGAATCAAATGACGTGGGACAGGATCTTGTGGAGACCCTGGCTGCAGCCCTGCTGTGGGACGTTCCCTTTCTGTGGGTGCAAAGAGAACGCCACACACTTCAAAGGTGAAACAATATAGTGAGTTGAAATTGGATTTATAATTAAGCTTGATTTTTACCGATTGCAGCTATTACTAATGGAGATTTAATGAATGAATTTGGTCGTTTTCCCATTTAATTTGGTTTTCATCACATAGGATTCTTTAAAACAGGACAAAATTGGTTTAGATGTTTTCTGAAAATGAATTAGGAAAAACGCCCTGACTTTAATCTTTTGCTTTGAGCTGGCTGCAGAGCATAAACGCTTTTTGAGAAAAATCTGAAAATCTTACACATCTTTATTTCAGAGGTTTATTTTCAGAAAATGTTTTTTTTACTGCAGAAAAAAAGAAAACCACATGGTGATGGTGCCATAACCATGTCTGACTGTATGGACAGTGATAATACGGTCGTCCTCAGTGAGCAGTTACCTCTCACAAATGTGTTTGGAGTTTGACTTTTTCCTTCAGCTGAACTGAATTTACTTCTCAGAGTTATGTAGACATGTGTTTCTGCAGTATGTGATCTATTTATGCTGAATGCAGATGCATTTAAAAAAGACTCAGCTTTACAGATTAAGATTGAAATGAAGGAGCTTTTCTGTTTGTTTTCATGTTGTCTGTTTGTAAAAAAAAGGGGGAAATTTTGTGTTTTATAAATTAAAAGAGCTAATATAAAATTCTATTTGTCTTCATATGTTTCCCCCTTTAATTTTTATGCATTTGCAATTTCGTCGTCGTCGTTGTCGTCTTCCTCCGCTTATCCGGGTCCGGGTCGCGGGGGCAGCATCCCAACTAGGGAGCTCCAGGCCGTCCTCTCCCCGGCCTTGTCCACCAGCTCCTCCGGCAGGACCCCAAGGCGTTCCCGGACCAGATTGGAGATGTAACCTCTCCAACGTGTCCTGGGTCGCCCCGGGGGCCTTCTGCCGGCAGGACATGCCCGAAACACCTCCCCGGGGAGGTGTCCAGGAGGCATCCTGACCAGATGCCCAAACCACCTCAACTGGCTCCTTTTGATCCGGAGGAGCAGCGGTTCTACTCCGAGTCCCTCCCGAATGTCCGAGCTCCTCACCCTATCTTTAAGGCTGAGCCCGGCCACCCTACGGAGGAAACTCATTTCGGCCGCTTGTATCCGCGACCTCGTTCTTTCGGTCATTACCCAAAGCTCATGACCATAGGTGAGGATTGGGACGTAGATCGACCGGTAAATCGAGAGCCTGGCTTTCTGGCTCAGCTCCCTCTTCCCCACAACAGATCGGCTCAGCGTCCGCATCACTGCAGACGCCGAACCAATCCGCCTGTCGATCTCCCGATCCCTCCTACCCTCACTCGTGAACAAGACCCCGAGGTACTTAAACTCCTCCACTTGAGGTAGGACCACTCCCCCGACCCGGAGTTGGCAAGCCACCCTTTCCCGGTCGAGAACCATGGTCTCAGATTTGGAGGTGCTGATCCTCATCCCAGCCGTTTCACACTCGGCCGCGAACCTACCCAGCAAGAGCTGAAGGTCGGAGCTGGATGAAGCTAGGAGGACCACATCATCCGCAAAAAGCAGAGACGAGATTCTCCTGCCACCAAACTCGACACACTCCACACCACGGCTGCGTCTAGAAATTCTGTCCATAAAAGTGATGAACAGAACCGGTGACAAAGGGCAGCCCTGGCGGAGTCCAACCCTCACTGGGAACAGGTCCGACTTACTACCGGCTATGCGGACCAAACTCACGCTCCTCTGGTAAAGGGACTGCATGGCCCTTAACAGAAAGCCACCCACCCCATACTCCTGGAGCGTCCCCCACAGGGTGCCCCTGGGGACACGGTCATAAGCCTTCTCCAAATCCACAAAACACATGTGGATTGGTTGGGCAAACTCCCATGCCCCCTCCATCACCCTTGCAAGGGTATAGAGCTGGTCCACAGTTCCACGGCCAGGACGAAAACCACATTGCTCCTCCTCTATCTGAGATTCAACTATCGATCGGACCCTCCTCTCCAGTACCTTGGAGTAGACCTTTCCAGGGAGGCTGAGGAGTGTGATCCCCCTATAGTTGGAACACACCCTCAGGTCACCCTTCTTAAAGATGGGGACCACCACCCTGGTCTGCCACTCCCTAGGAACTGCCCCCGATGACCACGCAATGTTGTAGAGACGTGTCAACCATGACAGCCCTACAACATCCATAGCCTTGAGATACCCAGGACGAACCTCATCCGCCCCCGGGGCTCCGCCGCTGTGTAGTTGTTTGACTACCTCAGCAACTTCTGCCCCCGAGATCGGACAGTCCATCCCCAGGCCTCCCAGCTCTGGTTCCTCCTCGGAATGCGCATTGGTGGGATTGAGGAGCTCCTCAAAGTATTCCTTCCACCGTCCGACTATAGCCTCAGTTGACGTCAGCAGCTCCCCATCCCCACTGTAAACAGTGTGAGCGAGTTGCTGCCTTCCTCTCCTGAGGCGCCGTACAGTTTGCCAGAACCTCTTTGGAGCCGATCGATAGTCTTTCTCCATGGCCTCACCAAACTCCTCCCACGCCCGAGATTTTGCTTCGGCAACTGCCACTGCTGCACCCCGCTTGGCTATCCGGTACCTGTCTGCTGCCTCCGGAGACCCACAGACCAGCCACGCCCTGTAGGCCTCCTTCTTCAGCCTGACGGCTCCCCGAACCTCTGGTGTCCACTGCCGGGTACGGGGGTTGCCACCACGACTGGCACCGGCCACCTTACGACCACAGCTAGCAACAGCCGCCTCGACAATCGCAGAGTGGAACAAGGCCCACTCGGACTCAATGTCCCCCACTGCTCTCGGGACGTGGTCAAAGCTCTGCCGGAGGTGGGAGTTGAAGACCGTCTTGACAGGTTCTTCTGCCAGGCGTTCCCAGCAGACCCTCACTATGCGTTTGGGTCTGCCAGGTCTACGCGGCATGTTCCCTTGCCATCTGATCCAACTCACCACCAGGTGGTGATCAGTTGACAGCTCCGCCCCTCTCTTCACTCGGGTGTCCAAAACATACGGCCGCACGTCAGATGATACGACTACAAAATCTATCATCGACCTGTGACCTAGGCTGCCCTGGTACCAAGTGTACCGGTGGGCCTCCTTATGTTCGAACATGGTGTTCGTTATGGCCAAACTGGGGCTTGCACAGAAGTCCAATAACAAAACACCGCTCGAGTTCAGATTAGGTGGGCCGTTCCTCCCAATCACACCCCTCCAGGTCAAGCTGTCATTGCCCACGTGAGCATTGAAGTCCCCCAGCAGGACAATGGAGTCCCCTGATGGAGCATTATCTAGCACTCGTCCCAGGGACTCCAAAAAGGGTGGGTACTCTGAACTGATATTTGGCCCATAAGCACAAACAACAGTCAGGACCCGTTCCCCGACCCGAAGGCGCAAGGAAGCTACCCTCTTGTCCCCCGGGGTAAACCCCAACACACAGGCAGAGAGTCTCGGGGCTAACAAAAAGCCAACCCCAGCCCTCCGCCTCTCACCCGGAGCAACTCCAGCAAAGTAGAGTGTCCAACCCCTCTCCAGGTCTCGGGTTCCAGAGCCAATGCAATGTGTCGAGGTGAGTCCGACTATATCTAGCCGGTACCGCTCAACCTCTGCCACAAGCTCCGGCTCCTTCCCCGCCAGCGAGGTGACGTTCCATGTCCCAAAAACTAGTTTTCTTGTCCGGGGATTGGACCGCCAAGGCTCCCGCCTTGGTCTGCCACCCGATTCGCATTGCACCGGACCCTTCATGTTCCTCCTGCGGGTGGTGGGTCCACAGTTGGACGAGCCCATGTATCCAGATCGGGCTGGGCCCGGCCGGGCCCCATGGGCGAAAGCCCGGCCACCAGGCGCTCGCTCACGGGCCCCAACCCCAGGCCTGGCTCCAGGGTGGGACCCCGGTAACCCTCCGGGCCGGGTACTCCGACTCTTCGTTTTAACCTCCATGAAAGATCCTTCGAACCGTTCTTTGTCTCACCCTTCACCTAAGACCAATTTGTCATGGGAGACCCTACCAGGGGCACTAAGTGCCCCAGACAACATAGCTCCTAGGATCATTAGGGCACTCAAACTCCTCCACCACGATAAGGTGACGGTTCAAGGAGGAGCATTTGCAATTTCTTCTTGCCTTAATTTATATGTATTATGGAGTTCTTAGCATTAACACTGTTTTACTTTAAAGGGACAATGTGTAGTTTTTAGGGATGAGCCGGATACTCGGTACAGATAAAGCATTTTTGACGAATACGAGCATGAGACGAGTAAACCTCGGAAATATCTGTAATCATGCTTGAAGGAAAATCCTCATTGGGTATTTGACTGTCTTCACGCTCTGTGATTGGCCAGTCACATAGAGTGCCCGCCCCTCCCTACACACAAAACTCTCTAGCCGGCCGGGAGCTCAGTCCGTCCGGCTCATCCACGCACACACACAGACAGTAATGGATCTCGCTGTGATTGCTTCACTGTTGCTCACGTTTCTTCAGTTTTCCCTAGGTTTTCTTCAGCTCGCCTCTTTTTCAGTTGAATATTTAAAGTTACTTTTTTCGTAACTTACATGGTGCATTTGACAAGACAGAGCTGATGTGCTGCGTCACTCACTACCTCCGCTCCGGTTTTTTATTTTTTTAACTCCATCTCTCTCAGACACACACACCTTAATCAACATGGTTTTGTTTAACTTTGTGTGGCAAAATGCCAAGAACGTTAAGAAAAAATCTGTTTAATCAAATTAAATTAAAAAATATATATAAAGTTGTGTCTGGTTCTAGCATTTCATATTTCCTAGTTCCTACTGCATGAGTTCAGATGTATTAATCTATGCACTTAAATATTAATGTTCAGATTTTATTGAACAACTTGTTCTGTAATAGTTCCTTTACTGTTGTGATCAAAAATATTTAATATCTATTTTGAGGCTGCTCTGTAAATAGTTTTCAAATAAACAATACGCTTATCAACTTCTGATGATTCCATATATATTTCAGACTTAAAATAATGTATTGATGTAAACCATGCCCACTTCTGGTTAAACCACGCCCACTTCCGGGTTATGCCACGCCCATTCCGAGTACAGATACAGATACAGATAATTTAGTTGGTTAAACAGATACAGATAGTGGTGTACTCGCTCATCCCTAGTAGTTTTCATCATTGTCTGGAAATATCCATCAAAATGTTGTTGAAAATTAATGAAATAATGCCCAGTTGTTGAAAAATATTGGCGACTTCTTAACGCATAACCATAAAAATCTGGTCTACAATAGGTGGGAGCCTATTAGATGCCATGTTTCCTTCTACGAGAGCCCTTGAGGACAAAATGCATGACTGATTTGTAACAAACGGTTACAAAACTTTCACCATTCATAAACGTTGTCAGTTTACCGGTACACATTTACCTCTTCACTCGCTGCCACTGCTGAAAGGGAACCTGATGTGCTTGTCGTTTTGCTGAAGTTTGTACTCTCTAGAGCTTTTTGACCCTAATGGGCATTTGTTGGTTCGGTCTTACTCCAACACAAAATACAGCTTTCTTGCAACAACTTGGGTATCTACTGCCGACAATCACCAGGAAAAACTCACTTTAAATAAAAATAAATAGGTCAATGGCAAGTTCTGCTCAGTGCTGAGGGGAAAGGTAGTGACAGCTTTGTACCACTATGGGGAAAAATAAGACCAGTAAAGACAGATGGTTCTTTTCCAGTTCAAGTATGGAAACAGAATAATCCAGAAAGGAAAAATATTTATATTTAGCTACAGCTGTGTCGCAGCAACATACTTTAGCTTTACTTTATTATTTTATATCCTTGTGACCTTTTTTCTCTGTGCTCTTTGTCTTCTTATTGCTGGTAATGCTGACCACTGACTTCATGCCTCCTTTGTTATTTTTGTTATATATGCTAATACTCATAGCTGTCAACTGAATAATTGTTATGGGTGTAAATATCAGCCCTGGTCTATATAAGCTAGAATTAAACTTCTTATAAATGAACAAAGTAAATGTGAATTAACTTCTCAGTTCTTATATTCTATAGATTTATTTTATGTGAATTCTTAATTATGTCCAAATCTGCAATGAGAATGAAATATGTGGATCTTCAAAAACAACACAAAAATACACCCGATCTTCTTCTTGTCATGAGGAGATGCTCATAAATATCTGATCAGCAAACTCTTATAGCTGCAGAACAAACATGAGCTTCAAAATTTGTCAGTGAGGAACTTTTACAGTTCCTTCTGATGAGTCATAAACACGAGAACTTCACTTGACATTTGAGTTAAAGCTTCATGTCTCCTTTAGTCTGTAATGTGCAACAAAATGTCTCATAATAAACCCGCACTGTCACGTCTGTCTGACCAGCTGTCTCCATGGTAACCAAGTGTAAACGCATGGGAGGCAGCATGCAGGACGAAAGGAGAGAAATGAGGGGATTCATTAGAGAAGATAAAAAGTTTGCTTGACTGCTGGATTATTGAAACAAATCATGACCGTGAGTAAAGAATCATGAATTATGAATAATTACTAGTTATGATTATGTATTACCTCTAATTCATCAATGTTTTAGACTTTATTTAGCACTAATTTCTGTTTCACATTAACCCTGACTCCGTCACCACGGGTGTGTTGTCTGTCGTGCACACACATTTCCTTCGTAGACATTTTTATTATCAGAGACAACAAAGCCTGCACAACATTAACTGATAAATTAGGCCATCCATCCATCCATTGTCTGAACCCACTTTGTCCACGTGGGGTCACGAGGGGGGGGGGGGGGGGGGGTGCCTATCTCCAGCGGTCACTGGGCAATCGGGCGGGGTACATCCTGGACAGAGAGCCAGTCCATCGCAGGGCAACACAGAGACACACAGGACAAACAATCACACACACACACACTCACACCTAAGGACAGTTTAGACAGACCAATCAACCCAACAGTCGTGTTTTTGGACTGTGGGAGGAAGCCGGAATACCCGGAGAGAACCCACGCATGCACAGGGAGAACACGCAAACTCCATGCAGAAAGATCCCAGGCCGGGAAGCGAACCCAGGACCTTCTTGCTGCAAGGCAACAGCTCTAACCACTGCACCACTGTGCAGCCCATAAAGTAGGCCATGGGAGCTAAATAAAAGCTCCTTCAAGTCTTCTGTGGATACACTCCTTTATTGGTGACTCGACAGCAGCTGTAACGAGGGACATGTTTCCAGTTACGCCCTCTGCGTGGTCCCAGTAGGCACCAGTGGATCATTAGAGAGTGACATCACAGCAATAATCACACAAATGAAAGACACAGAGCTGAAACGACAGTTTAAAACAAGAAAGATTCAACGTTTTTATTGATTTCTCCCACAAAAGCTTTTTCTTTAGTGTGACTGGGAGCGTCTGAGTGATGGAGGCGAGGAGGAGGAGAAATGACGAGGAGGAGATGCAGAGAGGAGAGCTAGAGGAAGAGAACAATGCTGGGGATTTCATTTTGAGTCTTGATGAGCTGCAGGTCTCTGGTTGTGCAGATGATGAGCGAAGATGCTCTGCTCTTAGTGACAGAACTGAGGTGAGTTTCAGTAACAGACTTAAAACAAAGTCACCTTTTGTTAAACATTCTAGCGAGTCTTGGAAAAAAAAGTCACATGACACAGAAATTTTCCTTTGAAAAACAACAACATGTTTATGTGCATGTGGGAAACACGTGACCTGTAACACCTCCTTTTACATCCTCCGTGACAAACTGATCAAATTACGCCTCTGGAAATACTCCTAACTCAGGAGATTAGCAAAGCCTTTCAAAGTACAAATAATTACTTAAATTTTTATTTGTCTTGGTCAAAATAGTTTCAGACTTTTGATTGTCATTTAAATATTTAATTTGGATTTTGGATGCTTTTTGCTTACATTTCTTCTGGTCTAGTTTTGTATCTCACTGACGAATAACAGAAAACTGAGAAAAGTCCTGCAACAAACTATATTCAGAAGAAGTACAGTATCTGAAAGTACTTGTTGTAAAAATGCATGTAAAATAATTAGTTACTGCATGAATGGGATCTATTGTGTAGTTAAAAAAATAAACTCCCCAACAGAAGGAGCACGAATTTTCCTGTCGTAGAAGAAGAAATAATGGGGTACCGCCCAGAAAAACCCTGAAGCATCATCTGGATGACTTGTTTTCAGCGAGTAGCTCATTGAGAATCTACTGATTGGTGCTGAAACTTTAAATTTTACTTCTTGTGTTTTGTGTCCTTGCAACAGGCTGGTGCAAACCAAAAAGTAAAAGGGTTCTCTGAAGGTGTATAGACTTTTTTATGCTAGAATGACTCAGGGTTGAAAATAATTAGTTTAAATAACAATAAACAAGAAGATGAATAAATTATTTGGTTCAAGGAATGAAATGAGTGGAAAAGCAACCAACGTTTAACAGATTACCATTCAAATGCTTGAAAACTTGTTTCAGGATTTGGGTTCAGAATGTGGAGATTTGGACATGGAGCAGAAATCAGACCTGCCACACAGCCTCACAGAGGTAAACATGTTGTGGTTTCTTACATAGATGTTGAAAATCCTATGAGGATTCGTCACGGTGAAGATAGAATGTAGATCAGTAGATCATGGTTTGGTTCTGAAGGAGTAGTAGGCATCCAGATTGTGGGTTTCCTTCCAGGGGGAGGGAGGAGACAAGGCAGATGGTTAGCTGAGACAAAAAGACAGATGGTGATCATGGTGGTGAACTTTTCCACATTGTGTTAGGAGAAAACAGAAAAATATCTAAATAAAACAAGAACTTTATTTACTGTTCAAATGTGGGTCAAACTGGATTTTTACTGTGCAGTTTTTAAAGGTGTGGGACACTGAAAACCTATTTAATAATAATTTCTGATTATAATGGGTCAGTCTGAGTTTTTCATGCAGGCTGAACATGAAAATAGTCTCCTACACCTATCTCCTGCGTTAGCTTCTGATAGAAAACAGACGGTGAAACTCTAGGATTCAAAAAGCCTGACAGATCTAGATCACACTGTCACTTAACATTCATGGACTCACCCATCTTGGCTCATGATGGAGAGGGCTGTTATTGGTTTAGCGTCCAGGAAACAGCAGAGAATGTTTTGACTAGTAGAAGCTAACCATTAGCATTAGCAACTTCACCGCACAACAGAAGTCATCCAGGCTTGTGCTATTTGTGGTTGCAAGTCAGTGGTAGAATCACACTTCTGTTATCCAATCCAAGGTGAGATGCCCAAATATGCAATGTTTTTTTAATGCGTCCCCAGGTGGTGAATAACGAGACCGCCCTCGTTTTCCACCCAGACAGAAAATAATAGTTTTTGAAGATTTAATTAAAGAATTAGAACAAAGACAAAGTGGAAAATTCTAATAAAGTCTGGCTGGCTCGCCAATATGTAGGGTTTGGTAAATTTAGTGCTTTAAGAGCTCAATATATATAGTACCTCTACTTATGACCAATAAGCTGTGATACTCTATCTAAATAGAGAATGTCAACCCTGCTTGGTCTTTACTGTGTTTATCAGAAGATTCTAGGATTCTTTATTTATTAGGGGATCGTACACACTTCGTTTTGATTCAGAAAACAGTCAGGTTTATAAAAGTAAGAATTTATTTTACAAACAATTAAAACACGACAAGTTAACTGAGCATTTACTGTGATGGGTGGAACTAGATATGATGTTTGAAACCTATGTGTGAATGCGATGTTAGTCAGAACTTCAGTATCTAGGAGAGCTGAGTTCTGGATGTAAAATAATTTGGTTTGCTCTAAGCTATGAAGTTGAT